CCCAATCCTCGCTGGTCAGCAGGTTATCTGCACAGAACTTGGTGTCCAGGTCGTTGAGCAGGAGATCTGTAGCCATTGCGAGAGTCTAGTGAACACAGACCTCCGTCACCTGTAACAGGAAACAGCAGATTGAGGAGAGTGGGACACTTTGAGCCGAGAATATTGCACCTTTTCACAATAATCTAATTTTATGAGATTGTGGATTTGGGGTTTTCATGAGCTGTAAGCCATAATCATCACAATTATGACAAATCACGGCTTGAACTATCTTGCTTTGCATGTAATGAGTCTATCTCATATATTAGTTTCACCTTTTAAGTTGTATTACTGAAATAAATGAACTTTTGCACGTTATTCTAATTTTTGGAGTTTCACCTGTATATGTAAATGCCATGTCGCATAAAGTTGCGTCATGGCGTGGCGTAACACGATGGGCATAAGTTTGTGTACGGCCAGTGAGCGCACAGGTGATGTCATCAGTCATTGCCAGAGGTGAGTGCTGGGAAGAAGTGATGTCATCACAGATCTGATCTCTGCCTGGCAGGGAACACATGGGGCCATTCTAGAAAACTCCAAGGCAGCATAAGAAGCTGGATAAAGTCTTGACAGCATTCAGGTACCTGCAGGAGCTGCCCATGCGCAGTGACCACACCAGGCCAGGATGCTCCCGGTCACGGTGCTGCTGTCACCTGAGAGATGTCACCCCTTCTCACACACACACAGTCGGGAGATACCGGAAACCAGCGGAAGGGTAGAAGCGCATGCGTGTTCAATTACCGGAGAAAGAGAGCTGGGTCCTCCGGTGCCAGGAAGAGACTGTAGGCACTGTCTTAGGTTGGACAACACTGTGCGAACCCCTCCGCCAATCAGAAACAACTCCCTTAACGCCTCCGCCAATGGCGGGCGGGCAATGATATCCCCCGCCTACATCTCGGTTGCTAATTTGTAGGGTGGGTGAGGCGTAAGGGTTTCCTCCAATGAGCGGCTCCGGCGATTTTGCTTGTCAGGGGATTTCACCAATCAGCCGTGGTCAAGGAGCTTTCCAATAGTAGGTGGGACCGAAACCTCTTTAGCGTGTGATTGGGCGGTAATGGAGAGTCAGCTTTCAATTGTCAGACCGCAATGCATTGCAATTGACGCATGCGCAGTATTCCATCGGTGGAGAATTGTGGGAATTGTAGTGTATTGTTTTTTCTTGTCTGTGACTAATAAAGCTTGTTTGTAACAGTACTGAGATGTGTCCGTGTTACCCATAGCAACAAGGCACCCAGGTGTCGTTTTTTCAGTATGCATTCAGTGATCTCTAGCTGGTGGGTTGGTTTCCTATCTCCTTCAATCTCACATGAGGGGTCTAGTCACAAGCAGTCATTTGTCAAACACATTCCCAGCATAGGGTTGCCACCTCATCCCTGTAAAACCCAAAAATATTCATTACGTCGGTTCTGAGGCTGATTTAGCCCTTTCTCTGCCAGAGCAGTTTTTTGCATGTTTTGCACACATTTAAAAAATCATTTTAGGCCTGAAGATTTCACAAAACCCCCAAATTTTATATATTTTCTGAAAGCAGACACCCTAGAGCAGGGGTATCAAACTGGCGGCCCTCCAGACGTTGCAAAACTACAAGTACCATCATGCCCCTGCCTTTGGGAGTCATGCTTGTGACTCAATCTTGCAATGCCTCATGGGACTTGTAGTTTGGTAACAGCTGGAGGGCCACCAGTTTGACACCTGTGACCTAGAGAATAAAATAGTTGTAGTTTCGATTTTTTTTATGTCATACTTTAATACCTCAAGGGTCTAGGAAATGCAAAATGTCTGTAAAAGACACACTAAAAAGAATTTTAGGGCATACAAGTGCAATAAATTACCACATTTTTGTTAAAATATAAAAGACGAGGTTGCGCTGAGTAAATATATACCCAACGTGTCAAACCTCAAATTTGCATGTAGCTGTGAAATGGCGACAAAACTTCAGTACCCTATATTTTATATAAACGACGCTTCAAAAGCCCCTACAGGTCTTCAGTTTAGTGTAACACTAGGTTCACATCTATGCAGTTTGCGTTTGATCCATTTCTGCAGTGCTTTTTGCTTTTTTTTTTTTTCAATTTGTTGCAGGGAAGAATAAAATGCAAAACGCATCAAAAACGCACTACATGCTTTTCTGCAGCGTCTCTATTGACCCTTTCCAAAAAACGCACCGGGTAAAAACACACAGATGTGAACCTGTCCCATAGGAAATAGAAAATAAAAGAACAGAATAGAAAATAGAAAAATAGAAAAAAAAGGAATAGAATATAATAGATAAGAATGGACTAGAAAAAAATGGACTAGATTAAAATAGAACAAAATAACATGGAAACAATGTAGCCATCTTTCAAAATAAAATTTCAATTAGAATCGAATGAAAGAAAAAGAATATATTGTCTTAAGAAACTTGAATTTCAAATAGAATAGAATAAAATAGACATAATACAGCTGTCTTCTGAATTTTAAATAAAAAAAAACAGAAAAGAGTAGAATAAAACAGAATAGAATATAAAATAAAAGAATAGAAAATAAAAGGCATAGAATAGAAAAGAAGAGAATAGAAAAATATAGAATCGACTGGAGTAGTATAAAAAAAATATAGCTGTCTTCCGAAATTCTAATTTCATAATTACATAGTTAGTCTGGCTGAAAAAAATCATAAAATCTCAATAAATTTGCTGTGTTAGGAGTCATTAGAGCCACCCATATTGATGGCTGCTGCTCTTCTGGATCAGAGTGCTGGAATAATCCTCTGTGTATAGGAGTTGAAAGAATGAGAGGATGGGGGGTGCCACTATAGTTACATAGTTAGTTACATAGTTAGTCTGGCTGAAAAATGACAAAAGTCTATCCAGTTCAACCATTAAAAAAAAAAAAAAAAAAAGTTATAATCCTGTACCCACAGTTGATCCAGAGAGGGGCTGCAACCAGCAAAGCATGAAATTTGCTCACTTGAGACAATTCCTACGTTTCCGAGAGGGAAAATCGGATATTCCCTGGATCAACTTTACCTAAAATGTTAGTATCCAACATCTGTTATCCAAAAAAATCCAGGACTTTTTTAAAGCAATCCACTGATTGCCAAACCAACTCTTGAGGGAGTCCATTCCACATTTTTCAGGGCTCTTACTCTGAAGAAACTGTCAGGTTCATCAGTCTTTCCCATGATTGTGTATCCTACTGAACCAATGAGAGACCATTTAAAGGTCAGGAACCCTTTGCAGGTGTTATGGCTTAATTTTTTAGAGTGGGACACTTTGAGCCGAGAATATTGCACCTTTTCACAATATTCTAATTTTCTGATTTTGTGGAGGGGTTTTCATGAGCTGTAAGCCATAATCATCACAATTAATTGACAAATCACGGCTTGAAATATCTTGCCCCCATGTAATGAGTCTATCCCCCATAGTATTCATCCCCCCTTTTAATTGCATTACTGAAATAAATGTAATTTTCCCCCATTATTCAAATTTTTTCGAGTTTCCCCATGTAGTTTCCCAATTACACAGTAGCATTGATTCCCCATTGTAAGTTCAGACCCCTGTGAGTACGTTATTCCACTGCACCTTGGTGTGCAAAACCAAGTCCCCCCTGTGTCAATTCACTTACCTTTGTTCCGCATTTCCTAAGGGTCGCCAACACTGAACCTTGCGCCGTACACCACTTCAGACCCCAGACATTCAGAGTAGGAGTCATTACACTACCCGTCTGAATACCATCACGCTAGCCAGTTTTCTACATCACATTGACATACCGTTTACCAAGCCCTGTAGACTTTTTACACATTAGCACGTGTGTAGGGTAAAGGAAAGTCTCCAGTATTGCTTGGGGTGTAGAGGGTGAAGGACTAGTCTCCCATATTGCTGTGAAGGACTAGTCTCCAGTTGCCTGTGAGTAGGTGAAGGACTAGTCTCCAGTATTGCCCGTGTGTGTAGAGGGTAAAGGACTAGTCTCCAGTATTGCCCGTGGGTGTAGAGGGTAAAGGACTAGTCTCCAGTATTGCTCGTGGGTGTAGAGGGTAAAGGACTAGTCTCCAGTATTGCTCGTGGGTGTAGAGGGTAAAGGACTAGTCTCCAGTATTGCTCGTGGGTGTAGAGGGTAAAGGACTAGTCTCCAGTATTGCTCGTGGGTGCAGAGGGTAAAGGACTAGTCTCCAGTATTGCTCGTGGGTGTAGAGGGTAAAGGACTAGTCTCCAGTATTGCTCGTGGGTGTAGAGGGTAAAGGACTAGTCTCCAGTATTGCCCGTGGGTGTAGAGGGTAAAGGACTAGTCTCCAGTATTGCCCGTGGGTGCAGAGGGTAAAGGACTAGTCTCCAGTATTGCCCGTGGTGTAGAGGGTAAAGGACTAGTCTCCAGTATTGCTCGTGGGTGTAGAGGGTAAAGGACTAGTCTCCAGTATTGCTCGTGGGTGTAGAGGGTAAAGGACTAGTCTCCAGTATTGCTCGTGGGTGTAGAGGGTAATGGACTAGTCTCCAGTATTGCTCGTGGGTGTAGAGGATAAGATGTCTCCCTACAGCTGAGCAGCACAGAAGTTGTATCACCAAATCTCACTCCAAGTTTATTTAACATGTAATTTTTGTGTCTGGGTCACTTATAAGCCCCCCTCCAGAATGCCTGATTTTACCTTTTTTTTTTATTTTGACAGCCTAACATGGTTTTCCAGTTGGAATACCAAACCATAACTGCAAGCCAAGCATCTGGATACTGTCCACCAAACATGAAAGGAGGTATCTTTTTACCATGGCACGTGTACAACCCAGCCGGCTACCATCGCAGCTTAAGGAAGCAGTAAAACCATGCATGGCTCAGCCTCCTCTTTTTACCACCCCACCACAAGTGTAAATACGCCTTTCGTGTTACTAAAGAGTAACTTTAGTGTTATTAAAAATATACATTATATCAGTCAGTTAGGGCCGATTTAGGTTTATTAACGCGGAAATAAAATTATCACTTACCTCCTCTCTAACGGACCAAAGTCCACGAGTGGTCCCTTGTCATCGCCAGGGTCTTCTCCCTGAGTGCCGGTCTTCGGGCATCTTCATTGGC